AACTGCCAATCTTTTGGTTAGCAACTGAGCACAGATAATAAACACTTAAAGCCGATAAGGATGTGGAGAAGATTGAAACTAAGAATAGTAACAAACAAAGCTAATTGTCTTACCAGAAATAAAATACCTGTCATTAATTAGACATCAAAGAAAATAAATATCTTAAAAATTTTGGAAAATAATATCTTGACAACATACTGTACAGCTTAGGACAAATAGAACTTTAAGCACATGTTACACAATAGTAAGTAAATTTGTTTTGCATAATGGTCTGGGGTACCAAATGTGAAACTACTTCATGGGTACTTTAGGATTTAACAAATCAGTAATTGTATTGTAGATAATGACATTCAAGTTTCTCATTGTTGAATGTCAAGAGGAGAAAGGCTGCAGTTGGCTTAAGTGTGTGAGCACCCGCCCTTGGGGCGGGACAGCAAGGAGGAGGACACAGGAAGCCCTGAGACTGGGTTGAGGCCGCATGTGTACTCCAAGACAATTGAATTCTCAACACTGCAGCATGTCTTCTGCTAAAGCAAAGCTTGATTGGGAAGACTCGGGTCCTGAAAACTGGAATTGGAACATCTGGGCAGATCCTGATGAAGTTTGGTGACTTAAACTTTAAGTTCAGCTACATTTTCTTTGCCAGTAGAAGCAGCTCTTAGTCCCAACCTGAGGTTATCCTTCCTTTGCCTAAATAATCTGGGATGGCCTCCCCCTGGTGGTTGCCTTGCAAGGCACTCCAGATTCTCCTCTTTGCTTTTAGATCTGTAACCAGACTCAAGTCACAGAGAAGTTATTTATGGATGGACTCAACAACACGACGTTCTGCTCATTCAGGCCCCTCTGGCTTCAGAGCAGGGCTCCATTTAGGGTTCTCTCTCACCGTTGTGCTTTTGGTTGTTCGACGTGTAGCATCATATCACTTATCAATGCCTAAGTCTAATTCATCCTCGAGTAATATTATGCTGGAGCCCATGTGGCTGAGTTTATTACACATTGTACTACTAACTGAAATGCAAACTGTTCGAACCTACCAGCCGCTTTTCCAGGGATATCTACTCCTTTAAAGAGTTACAGTCTGAAGGCAAACAAGCAGCCATCTAGCTCGGAAGCAGCAAAGCCCACAGAGAAGAAGCACACAAGCCTGTGTGACCACGAGGTGTTGAA